ATCCCTGTTTTTCCCCTTCAATATCGCTTATTTTCACAGAAATCCCTGTTTTTCCCCTTAAATATCGCTTATTTTCACAGAAATCCCTGTTTTTCCCCTAAAATATCGCTCATTTTGATAGAAATCCCTGTTTTTCCCCTAAAATATCGCTTATTTTCACAGAAATCCCTGTTTTTCCCCTAAAATATCGCTTATTTTCACAGAAATCCCTGTTTTTCCCCTAAAATATCGCTTATTTTCCTAGAAATCCCTGTTTTTCCCCTAAAATATCGCTCATTTTGATAGAAATCCCTGTTTTTCCCCTAAAATATCGCTTATTTTCACAGAAATCCCTGTTTTTCCCCTGAAATATCGCTTATTTTCACAGAAATCCCTGTTTTTAACCTGAAATATCGCTTATTTTCACAGAAATCCCTGTTTTTCCCCTAAAATGTGGCTTATTTTCACAGAAATCCCTGTTTTTCCCCTAAAATATCGCTTATTTTCACAGAAATCCCTGTTTTTCCCCTAAATATCGCTTATTTTCACAGAAATTCCTGTTTTTCCCCTAAAATATCGCTTATTTTCACAGAAATCCCTGTTTTTCCCCTAAAATATCGCTGATTTTCACAGAAATCCCTGTTTTTCCCCTAAAATATCGCTTATTTTCACAGAAATCCCTGTTTTTCCTCTAAAATATCGCTTATTTTCACAGAAATCCCTGTTTTTCCCCTAAAATATCGCTTATTTTCACAGAAATCCCTGTTTTTCCCCTAAAATATCGCTTATTTTCATAGAAATCCCTGTTTTTCCCCTAAAATATCACTTATTTTCCTTGAAATCCCTGTTTTTCCCCTAAAATGTCGCTTATTTTCACAGAAATCCCTGTTTTTCCCCTAAAATGTGGCTTATTTTCACAGAAATCCCTGTTTTTCCCCTAAAATATCGCTTATTTTCACAGAAATCCCTGTTTTTCCCCTAAAATATCGCTTATTTTCACAGAAATCCCTGTTTTTCCCCTAAAATATCGCTTATTTTCAAAGAAATCCCTGTTTTTCCAATAAAATATCGCTTATTTTCATAGAAATCCCGGTTTTTCCCCTAAAATATCGCTTATTTTCACAGAAATCCCTGTTTTTCCAATAAAATAGCGCTTATTTTCATAGAAATCCCTGTTTTTCCCCTAAAATATCGCTTATTTTCACAGAAATCCCTGTTTTTCCAATAAAATAGCGCTTATTTTCATAGAAATCCCTGTTTATCCCCTAAATTATCGCTTATTTTCAAAGAAATCCCTGTTTTTCCAATAAAATATCGCTTATTTTCATAGAAATCCCTGTTTTTAACCGAAAATATCGCTTACTTTGCAAGAAATCCCTGTTTTTCCCCTAAAATATCGCTTATTTTCATAGAAATCCCTGTTTTTCCCCTAAAATATCGCTTATTTTCACAGAAATCCCTGTTTTTCCCCTAAAATATCACTTATTTTAATAGAAATCCCTGTTTTTCCCCTAAAATAGCGCTTATTTTCACAGAAATCCCTGTTTTTCCCATTAAATATCGCTTATTTTCACAGAAATCCCTGTTTTTCCCCTAAAATGTCGCTTGTTTTCACAGAAATCCCTGTTTTTCCCCTAAAATATCACTTATTTTCACAGAAATCCCTGTTTTTCCCCTAAAATGTGGCTTATTTTCATGGAAATCCCTGTTTTTCCCCTTAAATATCGCTTATTTTCATAGAAATCCCTGTTTTTCCCCTAAAATATCGCTTATTTTCACAGAAATCCCTGTTTTTCCCCTAAAATATCGCTTATTTTCACAGAAATCCCTGTTTTTCCCCTAAAATATCGCTTATTTTCACAGAAATCCCTGTTTTTCCCCTAAAATATCACTTATTTTCACAGAAATCCCTGTTTTTCCCCTAAAATATCGCTTATTTTCATAGAAATCCCTGTTTTTAATCTAAAATATCGCTTATTTTCACAGTAATCCCTGTTTTTAACCGAAAATATCGCTTATTTTCACAGAAATCCCTGTTTTTCCCCTAAAATATCGCTTATTTTCACAGAAATCCCTGTTTTTCCCCTAAAATATCGATCATTTTCATAGAAATCCCTGTTGTTCCCCTTAAATATCGCTGATTTTCACAGAAATGCCTGTTTTTCCCCTAAAATATCGCTTATTTTCACAGAAATCCCTGTTTTTCCCCTAAAATATCGCTTATTTTCACAGAAATCCCTGTTTTTCCCCTTAAATATCGCTTATTTTCACAGAAATCCCTGTTTTTCCCCTAAAATGTGGCTTATTTGCACAGAAATCCCTGTTTTTCCCCTAAAATATCGCTTATTTTCAGAGAAATACATGTTTTTCCCCTAAAATATCACTTATTTTCACAGAAATCCCTGTTTTTCCCCTAAAATATCGCTTATTTTCACAGAAATCCCTGTTATTCCCCTTCAATATCGCTTATTTTCACAGAAATCCCTGTTTTTCTCCTAAAATATCGCTTACTTTCCTAGAA